TAGATAACTAGACTATTCAATATACTAAATCTAGTACAATGTACTAAATCTAGTACGGGTAAATCCAATCCATTAATTAAAAAATTCTCATGATGCTTACTTAATTAGAAAAACCCATCAATCTATTTCCTTATTTAATTTTATATATATTTTTAAATATTGCAAATTTCAACTAATTGAAGTCTATAAATATATTCGAAATCATCAAATAAGCTTGGCAACACTACATCAGCTTCAAATTGAAGTTTATAATAAACATATATCATTATTACTTCCTGGAGATACTCAATAGAGATCTGTATTTTATTCAGCAAGTAATTTTTTAGAGACTAAAACAGCTATTCAAAGAATGACTTAAGAAGATAATATTAAAATATCTGATGAAATTAAAAATAAAATTTTATCAGATAATTTTTGGCTTAATATTAAAATTCTTTGTAATTTTCTTTCGCCTTTTGCTATTTTTTTAAAAAAATTGCAAAATGATCAACCTACTCTTTCAACAGTTTATTCAGAATTATGTAAATTAAAAATTTCTATTTTTGAAAATACTGAAGCTCGCAATTATTTTAAACCAATACGATTAGCAAAGGAACAGAACAATGGAATAACTTTCTTTATAATCCAGTAATTATATTATCATATAAACTCGATCCTCAATATCAAGGTAAAACTTTAAATCCAAAAAAATGTGATTCAATTATTGAAGATAAATTAATACGGTTAGTACCAAGCCAAGATCAAGAAAATATATTAAGCGAATATGCAGAATATGTTTCTAAAAAAGGCCATTTTGCACGAGAATATTTGTGGAGTTCTAATCTTATACAAAATCCAATTAATTGGTGGAGTTTACTTAAAGGCAGATATCCTATATTAAGTGAGGTTGCATTACGCATATTATCAATACCACCTACTTCTGCAGCTTGCGAAAGAAATTGGTCAACTTTTGGATTTATACATAATAAACTACATAACAGACTTACAGATCCAAAAGTAGAAAAATGTGTTTATATTCAATGGAACTTGCGAATTTTAAGAAATCTGGGCTGAGTAGATGAATTGAATAAAAATATGGATTTTGTAGAAAATTTAGTGAATGATAATGAAGATTTGGAAGAAAGTGTGTTCGATGATTTATTTTCAGATAATGAGTTAATTACATATGATGAAAATGGATGTATAGATATTTGTAGCGATTCATAATTGGATTGGATATTCTTCGTCAAAAATGTAAGTATAAATAATTAAGATGAAATATTTAGAATTAAGAATAAATAACTAAATATTTATTATATAATAAAAATCTATAGGTACGAACAAATAATTTTGCTTGTTTACATATTATAAATGGAAATATTTTGGCTTGATTATTATTACGATAGAATCAAAAACTTGCACATATAAAGAAACCAAACAAGATTGCAAATTATAAATTAAATAAATTAATAACAATTGTTAAAATTATTTTGATTCAGTATAAAATTAATAAAGAATTTAGCCTACAAGGTTAATGCTATATACCATAGTAATTAGCGAAAATTTTATTTGTCATGCATACAAGATTTTAAAATCTTATTGGTTTCGAATTAATAATAAAAGTTGTAACTTACCAGTAAGTTACCGGTAAGTTACCATTTTGGTAACTTACTATAAATTACTGTAATTTTACAACCCTGGGTTCAGGTGTGTTACTTAATTTTTGCGAATGATTATGCAGATATTTCTGGATTGTATTTTTTCTTATGTCATATTTTAACAATGAGCAATTGTTTAGTGATTGAACAGTTGCTCAAATAGGCAATTAATTGTAATTACTAACAATTTGTACTTATCTGTCTTCATATGTTAATTTACTCAGGATCGGCTTATTTCTTCGATCGATTAGGTCAGTGGCTGTGCTTTTGGGCTTGATTGGATCGCTTTCGGCTTAGTTCTTGCTTAGCTATCTTTCCGATTCGTTGACTTCTGTTAATTTGAAAGTTTTCATGACGATTATTTTAACGTTTCCAATTTTAGTTAGCGTTATATGCAAATCTACGATTAATTTATTCGTCAATTTTATTTATACCATACATAACAGTATATAATTAATTTCACTAATATATTATACGTATCTTGTTATACCTCGATTTCTGCTTACGTTAGTATTATTTTTTTTATTTAATATGTTTAATGTTTAATAAAATATATGTTTTTCACAAAATAATTTATTATATAGTCATAATGATTTTTTTTTCAATGATTCTAATTTTAGTTAGCGTTATAATTCTTTCATTCATTACGTATATTATTTAATAATTCTTATTCAATTCATTGAAATATATATTTTCACTTAATAATTTTTTATATAGTCATAATGGTTTTTTTTTTCTCTAATGACTTTAATTTTTTTAGCGTAATACGAAATCCAATTATATTGTACACGACAAAACGCAATTAATTTAACCTTAAATGCATCGATTTTAGTTAACGTTAACGTTGGAATCAATTCTATCATTCAATACGATAATCTAACCTCATAAATACAATTCAATTATTGTTACTCCGTTATTTAATTTTGGTTAGTGTTATTTATAATTTTCGCATAGTCTCACGGTCATAAATTACTGAACTTCGACCAATCAAATAGCATAAAGGGTACATTTGCATAAACGGCCACAATTTTATTAGAATTTGATTGATTCATGGTGAAATGGTGTAATAATTTCACCACTCTGATTTAATTTCACCAGCATCTATATCCGGGATCATCGCATTTTACGTTCTCCGATTGGCCACACACACACACACACACACACACACATTTCCTTTTTAGAGGTTTGTATTACTGGTGCAAATAAGTGGATACACAATACAAGCATCGCTGAAACGGGCCAAACAAATAAGCCGAAGCTCAAATACAAATTTAGCAATTTATGTTTCACAATTATAATTGAGCTTATTAACTGTGGTAGAATGTGGTAAATGTGGTAAATAATAATGTGGTAACATGGAAACTTCAGAGAATTCTGTAATTTGATACTGTATATAGTTGTTAGACGAAACCTTGAGGTTTCGCGCTGACGAAATGCGAAACCTAGTTTCGTCTTTCATCAACTAAAATCTCAAATGACGAAAGATAACGAAACTGGTGAAAGGTGACAAAACTGACAAAAAGGTGACGAAACTGACGAAACTGATGAAACTGCAAAGGGTACGAAACTAATAAAAGATGAGAAACGGAAGCAAGT